TATCAGCTGTTCAATCATAGAATGAGACTCGCAGAAAATAAAAAAATAGTTTCATTTTGCTGATAAAATATGTTTTTGTCATCTAAACAAATTTTAAATTGTTTAAAGATGAATTCTTTAGTGCGGCCTGGCTTGATTATTCAGTAATGCATTTTACTTTCAGTTGGGATTTGTTNTTAGTCATGTTTTTTTGATGTTGTTGTTGTGATTGTGAGGCGTTCTCTCCGCTGGTGCAGAGCACTGGACAGATAGGTCTTTAGTACAGATATCTGCCACTGTTCTATTCATTCTATTCTGTAAGATCTTCATTGTGGCTCGAGATAGCTGTTTGATCTCGTTTTGAGGGACGTTGTCTTTCAGACTACAAGTTTGGAGCTTGGTGAATATTTCATAGCGTGGAGAAACAGCAGCACGGGAGGGGAAGGGTTGGCTGCCGTTGGTTTTGACATCACATCTCTGCAGCGGGTTGGACTGTAGTGTAGCCAGTGTAGGGTAGTACTAACAGAGTGGCGAGAACTTCCTCACATTTAGTCTCGTTAAAACCTCCCAATGCGCTGGCATCTCATACTGAAGCAATGGAGACACACCTCAAGGTACCCCCTCAAGAATCAACACCACAAATAATAAAGAATAGCCTTTAATTTGCTTATTTTCACAATTTAATGAATGTAAACAACGAATTTCAAGACGGTGTCCGCCATGTTTGTTGGCAATCGAAAGTAGACACTAGTCTTGATTGTCACACTATCAAAGCTTAGTACACGTTCAAGTCTCGATTGTCATACAACGTAAATTTTAAGAAGTCAACCCGCCCCAATGTCATTTCGTCCCTGGTAAATAAATTTGTCTTGAAACGACTCTAAGACGGCATTTAGACGGTTTGTACCGTACGAAGAGGTAGTTTGAACAACCGACCATGTTTGCAATCGCAAATGATGAAAGGATTCGCAAGTTTTATTAATTTGTTCATGAGACCCCGTGGCGAAGTGGCAAAGGGGGCGAAATGACGTTAAACTACCTTTATTGACTCTTCAATCTGAGAGCTAGTAACAGGAAAAGACAACTCAGTCCATACTAAGCCGGCTGCAGACTACAAATAACTCACAAATTGACTTGTTTTACTCTATTTTGCTAAATAAAGAGAAAACTAATAAATCTTGCACAAATTGGGATCTTTTTACATGAAACTAGATTGAAGAGCTGTCCATTGTTCAACTGCACAAGCGTTAAGTGTGCCAGAGTGTGGTGTCAAAGTGTGGTGTCTTGATGTGTTTAAAAATATGTTTGACATAAGCAACAACAAAGTCAAACCTGACTGGCAAATAAGATTACACACATCCCTAAAGCACTGTTTCATTTTGTGGGGAGTGAGGCACTTTTTTAAAGGAAGGCCTAGGCTTAATTATTTTTTTTTTTAATTCCTTCTGTTGCCATTTTTTTTTTTTGTTCAAATTTTTTTTCTAAATGTAAGGAACATAATACTTAGGCCTCTCTGTTTTCTTTTCTTTAAGTCTCGATCAACATTTCTGTGGTGTGTAGAAAATGAGAGAAGACACTGCCGTGCTTTTCACTGTCTGGTTTGCGTTTGTATAAATGTTCGGTTTAGCTATGATTTGCGGAATTCAGAAATGAATGGAGACTTTACGTCTCACATTTCTGCAGCTGCCTACAATTTTGTTTGAGATGGAATTGTCGCGGGGACCTTTAACGTGCACAGCCTGCAGCACACTGGGCAAAGGTTTTATTGTTCCATTCGCAAGACTGCGCGCCTGTTGAATTTACAGCTTGACTAGATTTGTCCGGTAAGGAAATCTAGAGTGTTGGTCAGTTGGAAAACAGGTCTATCAGCTGTTCAATCATAGAATGAGACTAGCCAGGACTCACTCCATCAATTCTTTTGCCATCTGTTCCTATGTTAAAACACGAAATTCAACCTTCTACAACTTTTTCCAGAAATCTCGTTGAAAGTTTTCCAATATGTCGAATGAAATCCTGACCAATCCTTAATGTCTCCTAAAAATTCAATATATGATGACAAATTTTGAGCTACTAAAATTGAAAGTAGACTACTACCGGTTATACTCATCCGCTTGAGTTTGGCAGTTCACAAAACGACTATTTTTAGAATTAGCCTTCCGCCTTTATGTCTCTCATCATCTCATCAAATCTGAAAGATAATGCAATTTCAGACATCAAATTCCGAATCTAGACCAAAAATAGGCATACAAAAACCCCAAAAGGACGAGAGAAAGAAGATTTCTAAAAATAGCCTGGACTACATTCGTATACAATGATTGTACCGCCATTAAAAAAGATTTTGACATCATTCAATGGAGTTGTTTCCCTTAGACCGTAAATTACAGGGGGTTCTAGACTTGATTGTCCAATAGACAATAAAATTGTTCTTGTACCATAGACTCGAATATCAAACAAAACAAATGGTATAATGAAAACAACATGATGAAAAGTTTCAGTTGTAAATCGGTTTAGAAAGGATAAGACTTAATTAAACCACTGTCTTGGCAATTTGGGGATTTGATTACATTCGTGTAAGATTCTACTAGGTCTACACGCAGTTTTTAAAGGTTGTTGTCCTTTTTTCAGCCTAAACTCCGAGCTCAAAGTTGAGAGGCGATGGAAGTGCCAAAACCTAAACAAACATGGCGGTTTTATTGTTTAGATTCATTAACATGTGAAAATAAGTGAATTAAAGTTCATTCTTTACCAATTTTTTGTGTTGATTTTCAAGAGAATATGTTAAAGTGTGTCTTCTTTGCTTCAGTGAAAGATTTCAGTGCATTGGGAGGGTGAAATAAAAATAAACATGAGGAAGTTCTACACAAGTCTACAGTCCAACTGATAGTGATACTGATAGACCTGGCAAGTCAAGTATCAAGGAAATGTGTTGATGAATGTATCTAATTAATATAATTAGCTGTTTGTAGTAGCTGTTAGGAGTAGCTGTTTGTAGTAGCTGTAAGGAGTAGCTGTTAGGAGTAGCTGTTTGTAGTAGCTGTTAGGAGTAGCTGTTAGGAGTAGCTGTTTGTAGTAGCTGTAAGGAGTAGCTGTTAGGAGTAGCTGTTAGGAGTAGCTGTTTGTAGTAGCTGTAAGGAGTAGCTGTTAGGAGTAGCTGTTTGTAGTAGCTGTTAGGAGTAGCTGTTAGGAGTAGCTGTTTGTAGTAGCTGTTAGGAGTAGCTGTAAGGAGTAGCTGTTTGTAGTAGCTGTTAGGGGTAGCTGTAAGGAGTAGTTGTTTGGTGTAGCTGTTTGGAGTAGCTGCAAGAGATGTAGATATGTTTCCCCTGATCTTCCATACTCATTTACAGCTGGGTTGACTGGAACTTGGCTGCATGAGGCCGTGGTTAATTAGAATAAAAGTATACACTTTAATATGAATGTGCCAACTTTAATTTTATTTAACCTAATATCACGCCCTTTCAAAATATATTAGGATCACCGTTGAAAATTTTGTACGGGGTGCGGGGTTCGTATTTTGTGCCCGAAAACAATACTAAAAAAACAGGAGAAGCCAGAGTTAATCGGTATTATTTAAATGTTAAAGATCCCCCGAAAGAATTAAATTGAAACACAATAGGCTTATTCCAATATGTCTTCCAAATTATCTTCATTGTATACTGCAGGGCGTTACTCGTCAATTATCTCAATCAGGAGTAGAATTATAGGGCGTAAAACTCCATTTCATTTCATTTCATGTGTTGCTCAGTGAAGAGAGAAAGGAATTCAAGGTTGATTCCAGTAGATTATCAACTCATTTTGTTAACATAGGGTGTCATTAAAATGTTGACAAAATTTCTCTCATTGTACACTGCAACGCCTTGTCATTGCGCCTTGTCATTGCCTGTCTCATAATCTCAAATACTGAAACGATTAACGATTCGAACCGCAAAACGAAACCCGAAATCCAAAACAAGATATTGACGAAACATTGGTAGCAGATAATAAACTTTTCTTTGGAGGTATATCATTCATAAAATAAGTAAGTATTTCATTATGAAAAGTGGTTTCAGGTGTCTAGAAGGGTAAGCTGAGCCCGGTTTAACAGATATATAATTATTTGTTATGTTTTTGAGGAAGTTCAATTCAACCCCCATTTTATTTTATAGTTTTCTATAGTATTAACAGTTTCAGTTTGTTTACAATCTGAACTGTATAAACCAAACCTAGTACTATCTCTTTTACAATCACCAATATATCTAGAATCAACTGGATCGTCTGCTGGCTGCCATCTAAAAAGATTAAACTATATTTCAAACAGAAGAATGATACATGTAAAGTTATATGTCACATTGAGAAATATCTAACGATTACTTCGGTGTAGAAAAAAACGATGTGGTCCGATTCTATCTGCTGTGAGGGGGGTCGCAGGAACAGCCCGTTGGGAGTTGTAACAGCCTGGGTGGAGTAAGAGTATTTGCATTGGGATCAGTATTATATTGCTTCACAGTGGTTTTAATAGGAATGATATTTAGCAGCGTTTTCAATGTAATTCAATTAGCCAGAGTGTTATTTACAGGCATCAAAACTATTAAATATATAGATCGCATATTTCTCTAGACATGGTCATATCACTGTCAACATAAAAAAAACCATAAAATATTTATTCACTCGCCGTGTATCACAACTTATTCTGGCAAAATTTGTTTGATTCACTGTAGACATGTGCAGGGTCCTAAAATTACAAATATACACAAAAATATAGAATGGTCATGCTTATATTCATTTGATAAAAGCTGGATTTGTGATTAGAATGGGTTTATTTTAAATAAAGGATACAGTATAGAGGATGAAAAGAGGTGATGGTCATTATAATAAAAACACAAGAAATAGTATTAAACTCTGAGGAGGCAGTCCATACCTCATTGTAAATATCGTGGCGTCACCGGCTTTAAAATCTATAGTCTTCCACTGTCCACCAAATTTATTAGTTATTTCACACGGATCTGTAGTAAACCAACCAGTACCTGTAATATCGTCATTATAATCAGAAACGGAGAAGATTTCATTTCAAACTAGTTGTAGTTACATCAATTCAATACAGACACGATTTTTGATGTATTAGAATGTGCCCTAGAAGTAACTGATCTAAACTTTTGAAATGAACTTCTAATATAATTTATTGTGAAAATATTTGTTATCTTTTAGTTTTGATTTACTTACCTTTTAGCCCAACTGCCTCCACATCCAAATTTCCATAACAATCTTGCAATTTCTGAAAGCTATATACAGTGTCGATAGTTATTTTTAGTAAACCCGATAGTTCTTACAGATTCTGTTGATTAATATTGAGAAAGAAGATGGTGTTATTGATAACACTAAGGGATATTAGGACAGTAATAAACCCCCAAGCAGACAAATTGGATTAACATTGTATGAGACCTCTTGTTGATGTTATTTTCACCTGTTACGATGTAATTTATTATTTACCTTCGAGTCGAATATTTCTATAGAATTAGAAGTATGATTTTACCTTTTTAATTTATGTTAACCTTCACAAATTACTAGCACACCCATCTCTATATTAATATCTCCTAGAGGTATCCACATAGTTATTAACTCTTTACTTCCTCGACTCATATATATACATTATCTACATGGGCACCAGTAAACTTATTGTTAGGTACCACCCTGATAATTAAATAGTTATCTTACATTACCCTGTCTACATTCTTCATCATTAGCCCAATTAGTGGACGCTTTTACAAAGTTTACGATTGTGGCATGTTTACGACCTAACGTAAGGTAAATAACGATCGTAGCTGATACCGATCCGGTTGAGAGGTGTCTCTCCTAGGCGAAGCTGAAAGGACTGAAACCCCATGAGGCTGGCCGGGGATCTGCCAGAGTCCCCAGGAAGCCAACGGATTTATTAATTTTAAATTTCACTTCAAATAAAACTTTGTACAGACCTGAGTAGAGGATCGTGGTCTAATAGCCTATGTGGTTTATTCAGGGGTGTGGGTCGTGATTCTTACTACAGAATTCAACAGGTTGATCAAATAGGCTACTTATACCTCCATAAACGGGAGACAACCAACACCACATCCTGATTGAAGAACACCAGCTTCTGTAGGATGTGAGGAATCTATTATATCATTCTGTTGATTTTTCAGGTATTTTAACACTTCCAGTCTGGCGTTCAGGACCTCTTGTCTGTCATGTAACCCTCGTATGAATAAATATCTGTAATATTAAACTTAATGAGAATATAGCGTCCCATCTTGACAGATTGAAAAGGAGTATAGGTTGAAACCACTATTCTTCATTGGATAATAGATGCTATTGTAGATCTTTTCATTTCCCAGAAAAGAAAAGTATGGCGTATTGACTTAATTCAATAGTGTCCAATTCAATCAGTAAATGTAAAGAGAGCAGGGGGGTATCATTGCGTACTGCATGGCTTTGTGTGTTTATTAAGCCAACCGAGTGCAGGAGAACAGCTCTTAGAACTAGATTTCTATTTTATAATCAGGAGTTATTATGAGGTTCACGTTAGCTTTAATATCAACATATAAAATGTTCACGGAGACTAGAAAGCTGTTTGTTTTTAATATAGGTCGATTAAATGTATATATAGACAGGTCCGAAACCAACACGATGTGCCAAAGGGGCTTGGCGACCTCATTTCAATTGAGAATTTGTTTGAATTTTGCGGGGGGGGGGGGAATATAGTTCCAGAGGGAGAGGGGTGCCAATTCCCCCCCCCNCCCTCCCCCTGCGCCCCCTTGTTACAGTCCTATTGTTCTGTCGATAAGAAGGCAAATTTGTGCAATACACAATATATTTTTAGTATCTAGACCTAGATATGATCTGTCTGATATTTCCTACAAATGATACAAATATCCGTCATACCCACCCCTTCTCGTCTATCTCATTATGTAGAGCCTGAACATCTTCTAATAAATGGTTTCAATCTTCTAGAGGTTGAAGATATGTTGATGGAAAGTTGACTTGTCTTATACCTAATTTGACTTCTCTAATAGTTGTATCTACCATTATAACACTTACTGTTATCAACACTTTATCAATTATAGGTTAGATTTTACATTAACACAACATAATAGATAAACTTAAAGCTCTAATCACATATTATACCAAATACACACAGTGTCTGTGTTTCTGTGAAATACCTTAAATAACAAGGAAACTGATAAGAAATGTGGACCTATGTTAATGACTGAATTATAGGTCAAAAGCTCCCGAGTCGGACTCTACGTTTTATTTTAAATTTACGTCTGTAACATAATTCATATACGTGTATAATAAATAGGTCATTATAAAGCTTTAAGTAGACCCATTCTAACACTATTTATGACTAAGTATACTCGAGTAGCATTTTCTTAAAAAATAAATTCTTACACTAATAATCTTATAACACCATGGTAGCTTTAATATCCAAGGTGTGTCTTGATAATCGAGACTAAAAACTAAACACCGGAAGTGATTACTTCCCCTTTCTAAAACACGTGTGTAGAATAAAAATAAAAACAAATATTATTTTCTTCACATAAACTGGTAAAAATGAAGCGAAAACGAAAGGTAATGAATAGATTTTGTTATTTTAGTGTTTAACTGTTTATGTTTATTGTGTTATTAATAACAGTCTTAGTTTTAATTGTAATAGAACAGATTAGAGATTGATTTTCGATGTTTTTTTGTCAATAAAGAAAAGTGGAGAAGGAGGGGGTGGGGGTGTAGCTCTAAAAATAATGCATTGCTCGTTTCAACGATGTGATATCGTCGTCGAGGTCAGGACAAGATTTAAAAGGACACATTTTGGCTAGTTTTTGAGAATTTTCACTAAAACAAACAAAAGCTATAAGGTATTAAAAGACCGGTTTACAGTAAGAAACAGTAAGAAATTGGAAGGGAATCTCTCTTAATGTACTCACAATTAATTGAACATTTCATCAGGCTGAAAATGTTCACATCTTAGAAATAGATTGTTCTTTAGGTGTACAACAACTAATATGATTGTTCTTTAGGTGTACAACAACTAATATGATTGTTCTTTAGGTGTACAACAACTAATATGATTGTTCTTTAGGTGTACAACAATTAATACGTTCTGGATTGTCTATGTAAATTCTTTTTTATTTATTTCAGTTTGAATCAGGAGCTGCCACAGCATTTATTACTCGTAATCAAGCTTTACGTAAATTACAACTCAGTTTAAAAGATTTCAGGTACTGTTATATATTATTTTCTATATAATTTACCTTGGCTAAACATCTTGCTAAAAATTTCATCAGAACTTGTCACATATTATTTGTGATGTGAATTTACCCTGTAAAAAGATCTTACTCTATCAATATGTTATTAAATCAAATTCTCTTTCTTTACATACCTTTAGCTAACAGATATATATATATATAGGGGAGGAAACCACTAGGGTGGAAACCACTAGGGAGGAAACCACTAGGGTGGAAACCACTAGGGAGGAACTTGTAAAGGAGGGAAACCACTAGGGTGAAACTTGTAAAGGAGGGAAACCACTAGGGTGAAACTTGTAAAGGAGGGAAACCACTAGGGAGGAACTTGTAAAGGAGGGAAACCACTAGGGTGAAACTTGTAATGTAAAGGAGGGAAACCACTAGGGAGGAACTTGTAAAGGAGGGAAACCACTAGGGTGAAACTTGTAAAGGAGGGAAACCACTAGGGAGGAACTTGTAAAGGGGGAAACCACTAGGGAGGAACTTGTAAAGGAGGGAAACCACTAGGGAGGAACTTGTAAAGGAGGGAAACCACTAGGGTGAAACTTGTAAAGGAGGGAAACCACTAGGGAGGAACTTGTAAAGGGGGAAACCACTAGGGAGGAACTTGTAAAGGAGGGAAACCACTAGGGAGGAACTTGTAAAGGAGGGAAACCACTAGGGAGGAACTTGTAAAGGAGGGAAACCACTAGGGAGGAACTTGTAAAGGAGGGAAACCTCTAGGGAAGAACTTGTAAAGGAGGGAAACCACTAGGGAGGAACTTGTAAAGGAGGGAAACCACTAGGGAGGAACTTGTAAAGGAGGGAAACCACTAGGGAGGAACTTGTAAAGGAGGGAAACCACTAGGGAGGAACTTGTAAAGGAGGGAAACCACTAGGGAGGAACTTGTAAAGGAGGGAAACCACTAGGGAGGAACTTGTAAAGGAGGGAAACCTCTAGGGAAGAACTTGTAAAGGAGGGAAACCACTAGGGAGGAACTTGTAAAGGAGGGAAACCACTAGGGAGGAACTTGTAAAGGGGGAAACCACTAGGGAGGAACTTGTAAAGGAGGGAAACCACTAGGGAGGAACTTGTAAAGGAGGGAAACCACTAGGGAGGAACTTGTAAAGGAGGAAAACCACTAGGGAGGAACTTGTAAAGGAGGAAAACCACTAGGGAGGAACTTGTAAAGGGGGAAACCACTGTAAGCTGAATATCGCCACGTAATTTCGGTCAACTACATGTACTTTTCTTAACTAAAACCTTTTCACTTCATAGTCAATAGAAAATAGAAATAGAATGGTTTTTTTTAGTATGAAATGTGTTATTTCAGAAGTTTTTGGTTTTGTTTACAGGCAGTTATGTATTCTGAAGGGAGTCTATCCACAAGAACCCAAGAATTTAAAGAAGGCAACAAAAGGCAGTGGAATAACCAGAACATTTTATTTTACTAAAGATATCAATTTTCTATCACATGAACCACTGATTAATAAATTCAGACAGACAAAGGTAATTAGTCTACTGTATATCATTATGTAACTTTTCAAAATATCCAACGTATGTTTAGGACTTGGTACACATTTCCTTTAAAACTGTCTAAGATATTTTAAAGATATTTTCCAAGTATGCTGTAAGTCATAGAATATTTGAATTATAATACACTTGAGAACAGAATTGTAATCTCAGTTCAACAAGATTTTATATTCTCTAGTCTAAATGTTCGTATTGATTTATGATGATGTATTTTTCAGCATTTTATGAAAAGATTAACCAAGGCTATTCATAAAAAGAATCAAGATGCGATAGATAGAATTACAGCTAGTCGTCCTAAATATAAACTAGATCACATTGTTAAAGAAAGGTAAATAATGATTATATTTAATACAAGATAGGATATTAATTATTATAAATCACAACAACAAACCCAACAACAAGGTAGAGAGGTCAGATACTGCCAATAAAATATATATTCATACTAGAATAAACAAAAAACTTTTCTTTAAAACACCCTTTATCTGGTGTGTACTGTCTGAACTCTTCAAGGGCAAGAGTGAATTCTTGACTGGGATTTATGCTGAAAAATGGGTAGGTCATAGGTCAAATGTAGAACGATTTTGGTCAATTGGTGTGGGATCTTTGGTCAGATGCTGAGACGCTTCAGGTGAAGTTGACTTTATGTGAAGGTGATTAAAAAGAAATACTAAGGTACCAGGTACAAAGAACCGATGAACTTGATTAAAAACTGTCTCTATATTTTTCAGATATCCATCGTTTATTGATACTGTAAGAGACCTAGATGATTGTTTGTCCATGTGTTTTTTCTATATTTTTCAGATATCCATCGTTTATTGATGCTGTAAGAGACCTAGATGATTGTTTGTCTATGTGTTTTTTCTATATTTTTCAGATATCCATCGTTTATTGATGCTGTAAGAGACCTAGATGATTGTTTGTCTATGTGTTTTTTCTGTATTTTTCAGATATCCATCGTTTATTGATACTGTAAGAGACCTAGATGATTGTTTGTCTATGTGTTTTTTCTATATTTTTCAGATATCCATCGTTTATTAATACTGTAAGGGACCTAGATGATTGTTTGTCTATGTGTTTTTTCTGTATTTTTCAGATATCCATCGTTTATTGATACTGTAAGAGACCTAGATGATAGTTTGTCTATGTGTTTTTTCTATATTTTTCAGATATCCATCGTTTATTGATGCTGTAAGAGACCTAGATGATAGTTTGTCTATGTGTTTTTTCTGTATTTTTCAGATATCCATCGTTTATTGATACTGTAAGAGACCTAGATGATTGTTTGTCTATGTGTTTTTTCTATATTTTTCAGATATCCATCGTTTATTGATGCTGTAAGAGACCTAGATGATTGTTTGTCTATGTGTTTTTTCTATATTTTTCAGATATCCATCGTTTATTGATACTGTAAGAGACCTAGATGATTGTTTATCTATGTGTTTTTTCTGTATTTTTCAGATATCCATCGTTTATTGATACTGTAAGAGACCTAGATGATTGTTTGTCTATGTGTTTTTTCTATATTTTTCAGATATCCATCGTTTATTGATACTGTAAGAGACCTAGATGATAGTTTGTCTATGTGTTTTTTCTATATTTTTCAGATATCCATCGTTTATTGATACTGTAAGAGACCTAGATGATAGTTTGTCTATGTGTTTTTCTGTATTTTTCAGATATCCATCGTTTATTGATACTGTAAGAGACCTAGATGATTGTTTGTCTATGTGTTTTTTCTGTATTTTTCAGATATCCATCGTTTATTGATGGTGTAAGAGACCTAGATGATAGTTTGTCTATGTGTTTTTTCTGTATTTTTCAGATATCCATCGTTTATTGATGCTGTAAGAGACCTAGATGATTGTTTGTCTATGTGTTTTTTCTGTATTTTTCAGATATCCATCGTTTATTGATGGTGTAAGAGACCTAGATGATAGTTTGTCTATGTGTTTTTTCTATATTTTTCAGATATCCATCGTTTATTGATACTGTAAGAGACCTAGATGATAGTTTATCTATGTGTTTTTTCTATATTTTTCAGATATCCATCGTTTATTGATGCTGTAAGAGACCTAGATGATTGTTTGTCTATGTGTTTTTTATTTGCTACCCTACCTACATCATTCACTGTTAAAACTAAATCAGTTCATCTTTGTCGTAGGCTTACAGGTAGGCATTACACTTATTAAATAAACAGGATATGACTGGGATTTGTGTTGACCTCCTTGACTTGTCCTGCTTGTGAATTAGACTCATTGATTAATATATGTTTAGTTTTCTCCTTGGGATTATACAAGATTTGTAGAATTTCTAAATGTAGCTTTTAAAAAAAAGAAAGAAACAACTGTATTTTACAAGGATAACAACTTAGGTTCATGAGAATCCTTTCTACCAGCTGATCCTTGACCATTGATCTTTACTGGATTATAAGTTTTTATATTGAGGTTGTTATAATTTTGATTTTAGTTGAATTCCAACATTATGTCATAATAGCAAAAGCTTTGAGAAAGGTAAGCCAATCTTGATCTTGTTTTTGAAAAGTATTAATGAAACATGGAAGATCATGAGAAAATCAGAATTTTGGATTAATCTTTGTAAACTAATAAAATAACACAGTGTGTAGCTGGTAAGATGGTCGTCTGCTGGGTGATTTAAATAGCATTAAGTTGAGAAAAATTCTCATGCCTCGACACTAGTTTTATTGAACTAATTCTCTATATTTGTAGGTGTTTATTTCTATAAAGGGTATTTACTATCAAGCTGAAATAATGGGACAAACTGTTACCTGGATAGTACCTCATAAACTAGGATATCAGGTAAATAGAGACTACAGTTTTCATTCCATTCAAATTTATAATGATGACATCTTAGACAAGTTCGAAGTTGACTATCTTTCGATGAACGTTTTTAAGTTATTACCCTTGTCGTCAAAATTTGTTTGTGAACACAATAGAGACCATAGTTTTCATCCAATTTAAATGAAATTTGGTGTGATCAGTGATCATTTATAATGATGAGATTTTAGTCAAGATTGAATTTGACAATTTTCCGATCTCAGAATTTGAGTTATTGCCCTTGACTTAGTAAAAACTCATCAAAATTTGTTGGCTTGTTAATGCAATAGAGGTGACAGTTTATGTCAGAATTTTATTAAATAATGTGTGTTTGTTTAAATCAACAATATCTTGTACAAATGAGATTTTTGTTATGATTTGACACAGATAGGTGACTGCCCTTGATATACTGAAAATGTATCAACCACTTGTTTCTTTTCTTTCTTCTATAGAAGAGGTCTCAGAATTTATTATTTTTTATACGTCCACAATTGCTTGTAAACACTCTACAAGGCACAATTCTTGACAGTTTTTGACAAAACTTGGTGTGAGTGTTTGTAATCACCCAAGGATGAACCCTATGGAAAATCAGAAGAATCAAAAAAATATTTAGTAGGAGTTACTGCCCCTGTTTTTGAGAACTTGAGCTCGTAAACATTCTTGAAGGCTCAATACAGATTTTGAAGAAAGTTGGTGAAATTGTTTAATATCACCCATTGATGAACTCTATCGAAAATCAAAAAAATTGAAATATGTTCCATAGGAGTTTTTTACTTTGTTCTTGAAAACGCTTTCAAATTTGAGCTAAAAGGCATGATTCTTGCTGGATTTTGACAAAACTTGGTTTTATTATTCAGTACCGTGCTGAAGATTGACTATTTGTCTTCTAGAGTTTTCACGAGCTAAAGATTTAACACGTTTTAAAAAACAAGGGCAATAACTCATACTCAATATTATTCAGTATCGCCCTAAAGAGTTCAAAAGAAGTGTATGACTGAAGGTTGAATATTTCATACTGGTAATTTTTACTGTACTGCTAAATATTTTTATTTAGAATCAAAGCTGCCAGTGGGCGTATATTACCTTGCCTGGCAAGCTATCTTTGTAGATTCCATTTATTTTTCCAATTTTCATATTTCATATTATTTTATTTTCAGCAACCCAGTGATGTCGATTTTAAAATTATGAGAACATTTGTAGATTTTTATACAACCTTATTAGGATTTACAAACTATCACCTGTATACCTTATTAAATCTACATTATCCACCCCAACTACAGTTAGACAGTGAGAAAACAGACACAGAGACAAAATGTTTAAAATCAGAGGCTGTAGAAGAGGTATGGTTTATTTAACTTGATTATTAATAATTACACTGTTATAAACACATGTTTCTAGTCTGTCGTGTGCATTGAATAAAAAGATTTTTACAAAACAATTTCCATCCACAATCAATCAACATACAATATCTCATCACATAAAACAACATTTCATTTAAACCTTGTGGTCATGTGACCAATGTCCATTGTCTGCCTTGCTTTAGTCAACTAAAATCTATAGTATTTTCTAGTCTAGGCTAGACAGAAGTATTTGAATATATCAGGGTCTATTTCAATATGTTTTATTTATTGATAAATTTGTATTCATCACATGGTAGAATGATATTTTTAAACAATCAAATATCTGTTACAGAAATTAGCAGCTATGACTCAAACATTAAAAACTCTGGTATCTACAACAGAAGATGAAACAGATATTGATGAATTTCCTGTTAGTAATGTAAGTATATCAAAATATCATTATACTTATATTAACCTGATTTCAATTATATATTATAATTCTACCTTCAGTATTCTCAATCAAAATATGAAATAATAGACTATCAATATTGACTGGTGAACTTAGATTTTATTTGTCACTGTATATAATAGTTAGGATAAAAAACTGCACAAGACACAAGCAAATATACTACTACTTAATAATAACACAATAATGGTAAAATAGTGATCAATACATCAAACATTAATAGCATCAAGAAATATTAAAATATTTGGCACATTCTGATCATTTTTGTCATTTGAAGCACTAATTATTCTATAAGATTTTGGTTTAAGTCTGAGGAAATATTAAGATATAATTCTATAAATTCTGATTCCTTTTTAGTCTGAAGATCCTGATTTTATAGAGAAAGCTAAAATAGAATCCGAAAAACTAGAAAAATTCCAGAAGTTGTTTACAGGAAAGAAATTTTTTTTAAATCGAGAGATTCCCAGAGAATCTATTACCTTCATTATCAGGTTTGTTCAATCTTTCTACTCCCACCTCTATAACATTATCAGGTTTGTTCAATCTTTCTACTCCCACCTCTATAACATTATCAGGTTTGTTCAATCTTTCTACTCCCACCTCTATAACATTATCAAATTTGTTCAATCTTTCTACTCCCACCTCTATAACATTATCAGGTTTGTTCAATCTTTCTACTAAGGCCAGTGTTTAGATAATGGACCATGAGTTTAAACAAGAAATAACTTCCATCAGTAGTATTGATTTTGATATTCTTACTGCTAGGTTTGTTAATATGTATGTAAAAACGTGTGTAGGTTGATTATATATTAGTAAGATAATAAATAACTAGATCCATCTGCTTGTTTATAATATATTAGTTTTTAACAACTTGTCTTCAATTTCAGAACATTCGGTGGTGAAGTATCGTGGGAAAGATCTCTAGCTCTGGGTTCGACGTTTCAGGAAACAGATGAATCAATAACACATCAGATAGTAGATAGACCATCAGTTGATAAACAATATTTATCAAGGTATGTTAACAGGGTCAAAGTTTGACGTCAAAGGTAGTTTATGTTCTGTCAGTGACAGTCTCCTGAGACAGGGGGTTCAAATAGAGGGCAACTGACTGACTCTACCAGGGGACTAACTATCAATACAATATTTTAGGGGGCCAGAAAGTTAAAGAAGTTGCTTACTCTGTCTGTCACTATTACAAACCTTGTCTAATACCTTGACATCAATTGGCACTTTACTTGTATCACAGAAGGTAGTGATTTGAACGGATTATAACCTATTTGGTAAAAGTTCAATAATGAAAAGTAGATACAGGTGTGGAATTTTAGATTTAGAAAAACGCCTCTTGATAGCCAGGTTTTTTTTGTGGGAAAACAAGGTCTTAATGCACAATACACCTTCCCCCTATTTTCTAGATATCTAGGTGCAGTAGGTGTTTGTGGCCTGAAATCTTGTTTAACCCTCTATTCTAGGTATTATTTGTAGTCTGAAACAGTGTTTAACAACCCCTACCCTCTATTCTAGGTATTATTTGTAGTCTGAAACAGTGTTTAACAACCCCTACCCTCTATTCTAGGTATTATTTGTAGTCTGAAACAGTATTTAACTCCCCCTACCCTCTATTCTAGGTATTATTTGTGGTCTGAAACAGTATTTAACAACCCCTACCCTCTATTCTAGGTATTATTTGTGGTCTGAAACAGTATTTAACAACCCCTACCCTCTATTCTAGGTATTATTTGTGGTCTGAAACAGTGTTTAACAACCCCTACCCTCTATTCTAGGTATTATTTGTAGTCTGAAACAGTATTTAACTCCCCCTACCCTCTATTCTAGGTATTGTTTGTAGTCTGAAACAGTGTTTAACTCCCCCTACCCTCTATTCTAGGTATTATTTGTGGTCTGAAACAGTGTTTAACAACCCCTACCCTCTATTCTAGGTATTATTTGTGGTCTGAAACAGTGTTTAACTCCCCCTACCCTCTATTCTAGGTATTATTTGTAGTCTGAAACAGTGTTTAACAACCCCTACCCTCTATTCTAGGTATTATTTGTGGTCTGAAACAGTGTTTAACAACCCCTACCCTCTATTCTAGGTATTATTTGTGGTCTGAAACAGTGTTTAACAACCCCTACCCTCTATTCTAGGTATTATTTGTGGTCTGAAACAGTGTTTAACTCCCCCTACCCTCTATTCTAGGTATTATTTGTAGTCTGAAACAGTGTTTAACAACCCCTACCCTCTATTCTAGGTATTATTTGTGGTCTGAAACAGTGTTTTACAACCCCTACCCTCTATTCTAGGTATTATTTGTGGTCTGAAACAGTGTTTAACAACCCCTACCCTCTATTCTAGGTATTATTTGTGGTCTGAAACAGTGTTTAACAACCCCTACCCTCTATTCTAGGTATTATGTTCAACCTCAGTGGGTATTTGACTGTGTGAACTCTCAGATGTTAGTACCAGTTGAAGATTATTTCCCAGGGGTAATTTTACCACCTCACTTATCTCCCTTTGCTAAAGAGAATGAAGGTGACTATATTCCAGCAGAACGTAAACAACAAATTAAACGACAGCAAGGAATTGATTCAGGTATTGGTTTAGTTTTTTAGTCCTGATAATCTGAAGAACTGAAAGACTGGAACATAAGGCATTATCCGAAGTCAGCAGTCTTTTCATGTTTTTTGTTAATATTGTTGTTAAACATCGCAATCCAATAAACTGAGATTTTCTACAACCAAATATTATAATAACAGGCTACTGGAGATATAACAAGTCTCTGAACATAAAATGGAATATATGTCATGCTTGTAACACCTTCTAATTATATTGTCTCGTGGGGCTGAAAGACAATCAAGATTTTTAACATGGGAGCTGGTCCTGCTGACTGATATTGTTATTGACCTAATTCACGTGTCGTCCATATTGAATCCAGAATGAGGCTCATAACGCAAACAAACAGTAAATTTCTGTTTTTAAAGCCTTCTTCTCCAATCTCACTAACTCAAAACTAATCATATTTTACATCATTAAATTCCCACTGTCTATTGGAGAGTAAAAAGTCATTAATGATTTTAAGAAATTTGAAATTGTTATTGAAGGAGTTGAAGAAGATGAGGTAGAAGATGATGACCAAGAGGAAGTTCCAGAAGAAGAGGACAGTGAAGACAGTGAGGTGGAAGAAGAAGAAGAAGAAGAAGAAGAGGAAGAGGAGGAAAGTGAACAAGACAGTGAAGAAGAAGAAGAAGAAGGTCAGTTGATAATATAGATTTTGACTACTAGAGACCTAGATATACTATTGATGATCCTAGTGAATTCAATATAGAAATTTGTACAGCACATAGATACAAGATTTTATATAATTTAAGTTGATGTCCAAAGTATTTTTTTGTTTTTTTTGTAGAAGAAAAGAAACCTAAAAAGAAGAAAAAAGAAGTGAAAGAAAAAGTTGTCACTCCAAAACGTCCTCAAAAGGTAATAACATGGGATATATGTAATTCTTTAAAAACACAGTATGAATTAGATAAATCTCTAGTAACCAGTAAATAATACAAAACTAATATTAAACGTATAAAAATGTTTACGTAGAATAAGGTATTCCGTTTCCAGTAAAAAGCGTGTTGATATTGTAATATCTGTAGTATCAGCAACCTGATAAACACTGCTCCACTATATAACCTGTATTACCTGTATAACCTATATAACCTGTATAACCTATATAACCTATATAACCTGTATAACCTATATAACCTATATTACCTGTATAACCTATATAACCTGTATAACCTGTATAACCTATATAACCTATATAACCTATATAACCTGTATAACCTATATAACCTGTATAACCTGTATAACCTATATAACCTGTATAACCTGTATAACCTATATAACCTGTATAACCTGTATAACCTGTATAACCTGTATAACCTGTATAACCTGTATAACCTATATAACCTATATAACCTATATAACCTATATAACCTATATAACCTGTATAACCTATATAACCTGTATAACCTATATAACCTATATAACCTGTATTAGACCTATATGATATCTAGTGTAAGATGTTGATGTTTTATTATGTTATGTCATAATGGCCGCTGTACTGAATTCTGGGATATATTTTATATTATTATATTGCCAGTAGAACGATAGCTTGGATTAAAAGAGATAACAACATAGATTCTAAAACAATTTCTATTCACATAATGAACTGTGTTTTTTTCAGAAGAAAGAAATGGCGGTAACACCAGGTTCAGTGGAGAATGTTAATATTAATCGTAAAATACAGAAACAAGTAGCAGAAGAGAAACATCTGGCTGAAATGATGATTCCAAAGAAAAAACGTCAAATTTATGAGAGGGTAGTAAAATCACAGAATAAACGAGATGTCAAGGTATGAGAGCTAATCTAATTTACTATGTTGGAAAATTTAACCAATCAGATTTCTGCTCTCTCCAGCAGTAGAGTTAGCACTGGAAGGTTGTGAGAGACTGAAGAAATTTGATTGGTTAAGGACGAGGTCATCAGATTAGGTCAACAGTGTTGTTTTGGGTTGTTAAGTTGGAAGTTGATATCTTTATTATTTTTTCAACTTGACTATCATATATACTTAAGAGACAGCAGAAACCTCATTTGTGTATTGTTTATTTTTTCTGTTCATTTATGTATTGTTTATTTTTTCTGTTGATTTATGAATTGTTTATTTTTTCTGTTCATTTGTGTATTGTTTATTTTTTCTGTTCATTTATGTATTGTTTATTTTTCAGATCAAGGAATTAAAAGATAAACGTAAACAAATCAACAGAAGAAATAAACTGAGCAAAGCTGGAGGAGATTAAATTAGATTATAGACTTTTATAAACTTGACTTACAATTTAATTTGGATCATGAAGGAGTGAAGGCTGGGGGAAAGATGCTATTAATTCTACATCAATATTTTCAAGACAATGGTTTAAAGAATTTGATTAAAGCTGGTTAAAATTAAACAAAATACTTTCATCAAGTTCATTTCATAATTTTTGTTTTGACATCACAATTTGTCCATTGGTTGATGACTTTGAAAGAGATGTGACTCCTACCATCAATATTCTATCAAACAATAGTTTCAAAATCTGACCAAAACAACAGTATTTTCTTGAATCCCATTCTCAACCTCTCTTACTGTCAATGTGAAAAATATAATATGTAATATAACAGTCAAGATATAAGAGAAGTTTTCCCGTCAGATTTAAAATGACCAGTCCAGTTTAATTTTAGGTAGTTTAACACAATACATACAGTTTTTATAACTCAGATTTCTATATAAAGTATAAAGTGAACTGTTTGTGTTTATGTTTGAAATCAACTCAACAGTATAAACTATAATTATATAAAGATTTAAAAATAAAGAATGTCAAAACATGGTGAAATTATTCTGTCTTATTATTTAGATTAAGTACAAACCACACCCTAATTCATATATACAAATCTTGTACTACCCTTGTCCTACCCATCTGAAGATCTATTACTGTCAGAATTGCTGTGTTATTACAGTGGAGCCCTGTTTAATCCAGAACCCTGATATACGCACGGTTTATACTGGAAACATAATATTTATTTTAAACCTGTTTTAGGGATATGGTAATATTCTATAGGTAATGAAACACGTCCAACATAAACCCTGCAACCACAAGCCATCAATTCAGATAGAATATATTTACAGCTTCTGACTGCAGATAAACTTTCAACTGAAGACTCTCAAGGACCCTGCCATATCAAACATTCAATAGTCTACAAAAAAAAACATCATTTACCAACACATAAATGTTAAGAGGTAGTAGGAGATGTAAGCTTTACCCATGACTATGTGTGAGCCTGAATATCTCTAGTCCTATCAGATAGTAATACAAATAAACTGCAGTCTCCAATCCTTTGCTTTAGTCTAAAACTCATTCTGTATCGTGTCCCTGATAGTTAAATTGCTTAATTTAGTCAAATACCGAATTTTGATTTGTTTAAGCAACTAAAAAGCTTTCAAAAAGGCTTAATATCAAGGCAACAAGTTTTAGTCTTGTGTAGGTTTGTATTTTCGCTTCTTTTAAGAAATAACAGGAATAAAAATTCTGAAATTTTAGTGTAGCCGTACAGGAAATAGAAATATGGCGGCAAATAGAAATCGGAAATAATAACATTTTGTCTCAAAACATGAATTGATTTATGGATATTTTTTGTTTATGCTCGTAACTACGAAGATTTGACTTGTCTGCAGGTAATATGCTGTGAAATTAATTAATTACCGTTACATGGCAACATAACTGAACAAAACAAGAGTTTAAGCGAGATAGATAGAAGAAAAGGGGAGGGGGACATGTCAAATCTGCTATCAGTAATTTAGCCCTGATCTTATAAAATCTAGAGCTAGTAAATTTAATATTTTACTATGTGTTACCCTGGCTGAAGGTTATTGCTACAGCGATCATAAACCTTTGCTGCTTAGTTCTTCTATGAATGACCAACTCTGAAAAAGGAGATCAGAATGAAATTTTCCTGTCAAAATGAAGTTTTTATTTGCATGTCATTGGTCATTGGATTGTACGCTAAGGAATACAACCAATCAGAGGCCTCAACAGAAAGGCTGTATTTGCTATTGTACAGTCCAATCAAATCTCTGTAATTACAAACTTCCATGTGTGATACAAGAAATTTAACTATTGATACAAGTAAAGTGGCTATTGATACAAGTAAAGTGGCTATTGCAGTTAAGGTATAAGTGCGAAGTTGGTAATAGGTTGACTTTGTCTTTGGTTGAGCTGGTCTTTTTATGACTATTTTTCATGTCTTTCATATTTAAACTGAATAAGTTTTTGATGAATATTTTGTATAGATAGAAGTATAAAGAGGTCAGGATGCAGGTGAATGGAAGTCAAGTATATAAGATAGGAGGGGTGTCAGTCTTTTTTCCCTGTAAACCATATCCTTCACAGTTCAGTATGATGGACAAGGTACAGTATATTTTATATCCATTTTTATTCATACTTGAATTATTTCAATCTCAATACAATAACAATATATATTCACTGTTAAAATAATACTCAATTGTAGATCTAAACTCTGAGGTACAACATGTTTCAGGTTCTGTTATAATATATTTCTAGCCTACTCAATACAATGAAACAATTCTAAACCGACAGGCCGTCGGACCACTGTAAAATGCCAGTTTTGAGGGGTTGCCTGTTTGCCCGTAGGAGTGGCAATATAACAGAGTTACATCCCTTTATGACTTAATCCATTATCTGTAGTTATCACCCTTTTTAAATTTTAACTGGACACCGCGTGATGTATAATAACTAACAATGAGGGTGGACAAGGCTTGACCAGTATCTTTTCACACCCCCCCCCCTCCACCTTACTCAAGTGAAACATGGTAGAAATATGATCTGTACAATGAATAATATATTGATGTATATTTTCTAGATTATAAAAGGAGTTGAAAAAGGACAGAACTGTTTATTAGAGAGTCCAACAGGAAGTGGAAAGAGTTTAGCTTTATTATGTTCAGCATTGGGTTGGCAAGTAGAACAGCTAGGTAAAATATGATATGATAAACAGGTTTATTTTTACTTTTTATTTCTTTACACTTGACATAAAGACAATCCAATTTAAACTTGATTTACAAAACATTTAGCAAAGTTTTGATGATAAAAAAGTTATTACGCTATCTAGTTACTATTTTGATTTGAATTGATCTGATAGAATAGAAACTATAGATGTATTTGATATGAAATTTGATTTTATTTGTAGGTAAAAAGGAAGCAGAAGAATCAGAAGAGTCAATGGAAGGTAATACCAGTATGTATAGTCATTTAATATTTATAGTTCCTGTACCATATATATATAACAAGAAATTAGTTAACATGGTTGAAGAAATATTAATTATTTGATTCCTACCCTCTTGGTCAGTTTACCTACCACATAATAACGTAATATACTCCTGACCGTCTGGTAACTCTGTTATAACCAAGTAACATCACAGCAAGTTAACATTATACACTTTAAATTAAATTACTTGGAGCTCTGAGTGTTTGACATTTATTAAATCTGATTTTATTTTACAGGTGAAAATTGTTGTTGTCAGTGCCATCAAGAGTTACCTACCCCTGTTCATACACAAACAAATAAACAGTCTGATTGTAAACAAACAACCTCTCCAACATCTAGTCCTAATAATACTATAGGTTTGTGTTTCTCTCTTCTTATTCTTGTTCTCCTTATCTTTAATTAGTTGAGCTACAACAGATCATTGTTATACCCCTTGAGTCTCGAGTATATAGATGTGGGATACGAGACAGTGTAGAATATCCAGAAATATCTTGTTAGATTGACTAATGGCTTTGTAGTGATACTAATAGTGTAGTTTATGGTGAAAATTCTCAGGAGCTAGTAATCTAAAAGAACACCTCACATATAAAATTGATTGTTAGAATAAAGACTGTATAATGATATGTCCTATGTTTAATTAATTATTAATTTGTAGAAGTAGATTTAACGAAGGAAGAAGATAAAGAAGAAGATAAGGAAGAAGATAAGGAAGAAGATAAAGAAGAAGATAAAGAAGAAGATGATGATTTTAAAGAGAGTAATACCAGTTTTAGAACACCCACATTACACAAGGTACATAACTCTTCACACGACTTCTCTTTTCATAAAGATCTACCAACTTTACCTAAATTATCTGTACCTATTAACAGCTGGGTTAATTAAAATACTGAGGAAAGATGATTTTATCAATGTATAATCTTGTCAGTATTCTACCTGCTAAAAAACATTTTTAATTTCATCAAAATTTTCTTCATATGTCTAATGATTTTACTGTGTTTACTACTCATGAATTGGGTCTATGAAAAGTATCTGTAGTTTTTTAATTGGATGCCACGGCATATGCTTCTGACAGTCTGCCTGGTGACAACTTAAAACCCCTATCACAAAACTGTACATATGCAGAAAAGTAGGACGTAAAACTCCATTCATTTCATTTCATTTCATTTCAAAACTGTACATAGAAGTGAGCATCCTAACACAGCACCTTGAATTCAGTATTTATTTTTAATGATTATTTTGGTTTAAAGGGAATTAAGCAACTACGTAAACACATACCAATCAACTACGAAGATGATTATACTCCTAGTAAAAACAAGGGAGATCATTCTAAAGATTCTGGTAATCAAACAGACCTAGAGGCTAGTCCATCCAGTCCTAAAAAACCTACAGAAGATTGTGGATGTTGCTGGAAAAACTCGTCTAATAAAACTAAGTATGTACCTTTATATTGATGACCTGTCACTCATTCTATTAACTTGATTTATATTGATATGTACGGTATTATTTTATTTTAGAGTTCTAAAGAATTGATTTATATTGATATGTACGGTATTATTTTATTTCAGAGTTCTAAAGAATTGATTTATATTGATATGTACGGTATTATTTTATTTTAGAGTTCTAAAGAATTGATTTATATTGATATGTACGGTATTATTTTATTTCAGAGTTCCCAGAATATATTTTGGTACAAGAACACATAAACAGGTAGCACAGATTGTTAGAGAATTGAGAAAAACAGCTTATCATGATGTCAGGTGAGAGTTACAATAAAAAACTCCCAACACTGCAGGGTGTTACTAATCTTCATTATAACTAGTATAATAACTAGTATAATAACTAGTATAATAACTAGTATGATAACTAGTATAATAACTAGTATAATAACTAGTATGATAACTAGTATAATAACTAGTATAATAACTAGTATAATAACTAGTATGATAACTAGTATAATAACTAGTATAATAACTAGTATGATAACTAGTATAATAACTAGTATAATAACTAGTATGATAACTAGTATAATAACTAGTATAATAACTAGTATGATAACTAGTATGATAACTAGTATGATAACTAGTATAATAACTAGTATAATAACTAGTATAATAACTAGTATGATAACTAGTATAATAACTAGTATAATAACTAGTATGATAACTAGTATAATAACTAGTATGATAACTAGTATAATAACTAGTATGATAACTAGTATGATAACTAGTATAATAACTAGTATAATAACTAGTATGATAACTAGTATAATAACTAGTATGATAACTAGTATAATAACTAGTATGATAACTAGTATAATAACTAGTATAATAACTAGTATGATAACTAGTATAATAACTAGTATGATAACTAGTATAATAACTAGTATAATAACTAGTATGATAACTAGTATAATAACTAGTATAATAACTAGTATGATAACTAGTATGATAACTAGTATGATAACTAGTATAATAACTAGTATGATAACTAGTATCATAACTAGTATCATAACTAGTATGATAACTAGTATAATAACTAGTATAATAACTAGTATAATAACTAGTATAATAACTAGTATGATAACTAGTATAATAACTAGTATGATAACTAGTATGATAACTAGTATAATAACTAGTATGATAACTAGTATGATAACTAGTATGATAACTAGTATGATAACTAGTATAATAACTAGTATGATAACTAGTATAATAACTAGTATAATAACTAGTATAATAACTGATCTAAAACTGTTCTGTATGTTAGGCAATGGTCTTACAGGTACATTTTATATCAGATAGAGCAGTTCATGAATTTCTCTTGTATTACTATATTAACTAAGTTTATATTTTATAGAATGACTATATTAGGCAGTAGAGAGTTCACATGTATCCATCCTGCTGTTTCCAAATCTAAAAATAAAAATGAAGGTTGTTCTGAATTGATCAAGGTAAGTAGTACTAATAATATCTCAATATTTGTACAGAAGTCAGTTGACTTAAAAAGATTGTAAAGAAGTTTCGTCTATTTTTTATTATGTATAACAGGGACAATCTGTTGATCTTGCAATTCCACTAAAAATTAGACTTTTATGATGTTACTAGCACAAGGCCCTATATATAGTAAAGTTTTCCTCACTTTCAAAAACCAGCTGTCCTGATGAGGATTGTGTATCAGAAACATGTGTCAGCAGTATGAGATGAACTCTAGTCAATTAGCTAACATTAAGTCCTATATTAGAAACGTTAACTAGCTGTCCTGATGAGGATTGTGTATCTGAAACATGTCAGCAGTATGAGATAAACTGTTGTCTATAAAGAGTATGAATTTAGTAACTGATTTTGTTTATTTGTTATTTAGGGTCCAGGGTGTAGTTTTAAAGATAGAACTAAACGTTTAGCCTCACAGAAAACTATTAAAAATCTTGGTTTAGATTCTGCCTGGGATCTAGAAGATTTAGTTGGTGTTGGTAAAAAACACAAGGTATATGTTCAATCTTACAGATACTTTAGAGTTTTAGATTTTGCTATATTTTAAATAAACTATAACTCTCTCTGTTGACAATAAGTAGAAGAAAGACAGATATAATTTTTGTTATTTTGAAGTTGTCACATACTCCTCCCAGAAATTGACTTTGTATTAAAGAATTTCTGGTCAGTGAGTTTGCTGACTTATTTTAGTTAAATTGTTTGAATTATTTCAGGCGTGTCCGTATTTCTTAAGTCGAGATATAAAGAGCCAATCAGAATTAGTAATTTGTCCGTATAATTATTTAATAGATCCTTTGATTAGAGAAAGTGTAAGTTATTTTAATATTTCTGTAATATTTAGTTTTTTTAAAACTTAGGTTGTTAGCTGGAAAATGAATAGGAAGATATGTGGATACTTCCGTTAAACACATTGTTTTGTTCTATATACAAGGTCACCAGACTTTACTTAAAGTCTAAAATTATAATTGATTTTCCTAAAGAAACATGATATCACATGATTATTTGAGCAATAATTTTTATCTAGAATTATTTTGAAGATTTTTGAAGACTACCGAATGTAAATATAAGGATTGAATGTAGATAAAAGGATTGAATGTAAATATAAGGATTGAATGTAAATATAAGGATTGAATGTAGATATAAGGATTGAATGTAGATATAAGGATTGAATGTAAATATAAGGATTGAATGTAGATATAAGGATTGAATGTAGATAAAAGGATTGAATGTAAATATAAGGATTGAATGTAGATAAAAGGATTGAATGTAAATATAAGGATTGAATGTAGATATAAGGATTGATTGTAAATATAAGGATTGAATGTAAATATAAGGATTGAATGTAGATAAAAGGATTGAATGTAAATATAAGGATTGAATGTAGATAAAAGGATTGAATGTAGATTTTTTTTGCCTGAATTTTATAAACAAACAAACCAATCTACATTCAATCCTTAAATAATATATTCCCTTGTGATTTTTGTTATTTGTGCTGTCAGCTTGTAAATGTTGTTCAAATCTTCTATTATAGATGGAGATATCTATTAAAGATCAGATAGTAATATTAGATGAAGCTCACAATATAGAAGATTCATCTCGTGAAGCTGCCAGCCAGTCTGTTCATCTTGATACTCTAGAAAAATCTATCTTTGAAATAGACAATATGAGTAAGTATTTGTAGAAGAAAGAAAGGGTAATATATAGATATCTAGAATATTAGATATGATTTAACTTACAAACTAAATTTCAAATTGGCTATAAAAAAACACTAGATATGAACTTCTGGTTCAGAACTTGTTTGATTTGAAGGATTAACAGTGGTGATGTCTAATGTTATTATTTTTTCAGTTGAGTTGAATTTAAAACTTGGAGATTATTTGAAATTAAAGAGAATGGTAAGTTAGAATTAGATTTTAACTCAAGTTATTATTTTAGTATTATTTCTAGATGTTTAAAATATGTTTAATTGATTTTAATTTGTGATTTAAGATATGATATAATTTCTGTTAATGTAAATTAATTATAGGTTCAATCATTAATAGAATTTATAAATCAGAATTCACTTCACCTACAACAGAAAGATTTCGAACAGTCTAGTAAAATCTGGACAGGGTTTGATATTGTGGCTCAGATGGAATCAATGGGGCTGGGACCTCAAGATTTTACAGAACTTCAGGTAAATATTAATATTAAAATAGACAACTTATAGGACAACAGATATATATTCTACTGTTTTACTATGAAATAAGATTCATCAAATCAGATAATCAATGTTTATAGTTTGTTTTAATCAGAGTTTATAGTTTGTTTTAATCAGGGTTTATAGTTTGTTTTAATCAGAGTTTATAGTTTGTTTTAATCAGGGTTTATAGTTTGTTTTAATCAGGGTTTATAGTTTGTTTTAATCAGGGTTTATAGTTTGTTTTAATCAGAGTTTATAGTTTGTTTTAATCAGAGTTTATAGTTTGTTTTAATCAGAGTTTATAGTTTGTTTTAATCAGGGTTTATAGTTTGTTTTAATCAGAGTTTATAGTTTGTTTTAATCAGAGTTTATAGTTTGTTTTAATCAGAGTTTATAGTTTGTTTTAATCAGAGTTTATAGTTTGTTTTAATCAGGGTTTTGGACCAGCTGGTAGAAAAGATCTTATAAAATATAGTTATTTAGGGAGCTCTATCAGGGGGTAAAACAGATATTTAGTGGACAGTATCCCTGTATTTGGTGACAAAGTTGAGTCTAGACTATCCTCTTTTAAATTTTGACTTAATATTTCATTTCAGGGAGCCTTGGCCAGTGTTTGTGAAGAATTAGATGATTTAAGTAAACAGAGATTAAATACTGATGGTAAATTACCTCAGTCTATATTAACTATGTTTGAACAGATATTTCTAGTTTTTAAATATCTTTATAGTAATAACATGAAATTTGTTGAAGATTATAGGTAAGTTACTTATTATTATTCATGTTAATAATTAATTAATTAATCTGATGGGACAATAAAACATTGTCTTAACTAGTTGTGCATGTTAAAGATCATAGATTGTTGGAAATAACAGTAACATATTGATGCTAAATTGACAAAATCTTACCCATTGCACACCTCATAGCAACACCTTCTGTTGGGTGTTATTTATTTATTATATTATATTATAGAGCTGTCTTGTTAATTATATTATGTTTATATTATATTATAGAGCTGTCTTGTTAATTATATTATTTTTATTATATTATATTATAGAGCTGTCTTGTTAATTATATTATGTTTATTTTTATTATATTATATTATAGAGCTGTCTTGTTAATTATATTATGTTTATTTTTATTATATTATATTATAGAGCTGTCTTGTTAATTATATTATGTTTATATTAATTATATTATATTATAGAGCTGTCTTGTTAATTATATTATGTTTATATTATATTATAGAGCTGTCTTGTTAATCATATTATGTTTATATTTATTGTAGAGCTGTCTTGTTAATTATATTATGTTTATATTAATTATATTATAGAGCTGTCTTGTTAATTATATTATGTTTATATTATATTATAGAGCTGTCTTGTTAATTATATTATGTCTATATTATATTATAGAGCTGTCTTGTTAATTATATTATGTTTATTTTTATTATATTATATTATAGAGCTGTCTTGTTAATTATATTATGTTTATATTTATTATATTATATTATAGAGCTGTCCTGTTAATTATATTATGTTTATATTATATTATATTATATTATATTATAGAGCTGTCTTGTTAATCATATTATGTTTATATTTATTGTAGAGCTGTCTTGTTAATTATATTATGTTTATATTAATTATATTATATTATAGAGCTGTCTTGTTAATTATATTATGATTATATTATAGAGCTGTCTTGTTAATTATATTATGTTTATATTTATTATATTATGTTTATATTAATTATATTATATTATAGAGCTGTCTTGTTAATTATATTATGTTTATTTTTATTATATTATATTATAGAGCTGTCTTGTTAATTATATTATGGTTATATTATATTATATTATAGGAG